CAAAAATCGCTAGGCGTTAGTCAGGCGCTTAGTATGGGCCTAACGATTAATCGAAAAATTGGATTGAAATCAGAGACTAGTTTTAGGGTTATTTAATGTTTTAATTAAAATTTATTAATCCAATCTTGTTTTCAAAATTGTAATAAACACATAAAAATATATTTTTAAGACAAAATTTTATGATTTTTATTAAAATTTTGAACATAAGTTGTTATTATAAAAATCACAAACCCTCAATCTAAATGTCTAAATAACAAAAAGAAAAGTTGATTTATACTACAATCTAAAATAATTAGGGTTTGCAAGATTAGGCGGAGAGTAATCGGATTAGACGGTGAAAAATCAGATTAATCAGAGAGTAATCGGGTAACTGATTTCTTCAAGAAATTAGTCATTAATCGTGGCATGGATCTAGCGATTAAGCGGGAAGTAATTGGAGCTAGGCGGAGATTTTTAGAACAAGGGTCAAAACTAAGGTAAGAGAAGATATCGATGGTGATTTGATCTGCTTTGGGTTTTTGAGTTCTTACCCAAAATGGGTACGACATGGAGAGGATACATGTGTCATGAGTACCTAAAGCCAGAAAAATGTCTCTAGTTATTAGTACCAAAAACACTTATGATACAAGCTTCACATTCTCAGTCTAGATTGGTTTAAAGTCTATTAAACTTAGACTAAGGCAGTCCTCGGATTTCATCTCTTACGGCAACAGCATTGTGCCTTTCGAGATTAAAGTAGTAAAGATAAAAAGGGTCGGATGGGTAGCAACGCGACAACACAAATATCATTTGTCGGAGTCACTCTAAAAGAGCCATTTCCAAGCATGTTCTTATTGCTTCATATATATGCTTGGACCATTCCTGCTTTTGGAGATCTTCTAAAATCCTCAACTCAATTCTTTTACTTATTAGTTATTTCATAAGTGTAGTGAAGCTCTTCATCATAATGACTTTAATATAGCTGAACTTCTCAGATTTAACGTCAAAGCAAACTCCTATTTAAATTTCTATATATACACCTACTGATAGCTAGTACAAAACTCCATTGATGCATATCCCTACATCTTTAGCATAATGTAGCATGCAACATTCAATCATTCTCCATGGATGGATTTCAGTTCCTAATGTCAGAACTTGATACTCCGCAAACACGTTTTCCCCATAACTTGTCAGGACATGGACAAAATCTTGAATACTATTCATTAACCCGGTCAGTGTCAACTTAAACCAGAATTGTATCGTACCAATCAATTAACAAGAATCCAAATTCGAATTACATTTCTCTTCTGAATCCAACCAAGCCCATCAAGTAATTAACTTTCAACAAATCTAAGTCACTATTCTTCATCTATTACAAAATTCAACCATCATCATCCACAGAAGAAAAAAAACATGGATAATCGACAATGCTTCATTCCTTGGATCTTCTAACATTACGTGAATTAGAATCATAACAAGCTTCTATATTTTTCTTTTGTAAATGTACTAAGAACTTGTCTCTTCAACAAAACCAGATGAAGATCAATCTTAAAACAATGTCTATTTGACTCAATAAAAAGACTCAATTAACAAACTGTTAGCTTCTAACCGATATATAACTCTTCTGATGTAATTTTCTTGCAAGCTTGAGTTTGATAAATCGTAAACTCTTGTTGACTTTGCTAATATAAACACCACGTTAAGTCATGAAACAAATCAAACAGTTGATGCTTCGATTCAATTAATGAGCTTTCATTTATATGGGGCAAAATGGTATCTTTTGAAAACAAAACAAAGTACTCAAATCGATTTATATTCTCCCAATATTTCCAAATGAAATTTTATATCTGATTTCATACGATGTCGATTTGCTAATTAACAGAAGCCTATTAGTAGAAACACAATACCATTTATTTGTTCCATTTACCGACTTAACGATGTGCCTAAATTAGTAAAGGCAACAAAAGTTTAAGATTTAATAGAAAATAAACAAAAACAAAAATTGGTATATATTTGTCTAGATACAAAATTGAGACTTTGTTTCAACGGAACGGATAGTTGAAGCATTTTATGACATTTAAGGTTGCTTGTAATCCAGCTTTTGTTATGCTTATCGTTTGCTGCTCCATCACTTCATGAACCTTTGTGCCCAAATGTAACAATAATTTTCATCAAACACCAAATTTTAAACTAAGTTTCCTAAATTTCTATAGATCAAATGGATACAATATTTTTTTCACGCGATGAAGATACTGTACGCCTTTTATTAAAATCATACAAGATACAACACATATAAGTTATGGAGAATCTATTCCCGCAATAAAGACATTGTACGGCTTTTATTAAATCATACAGAACACAAATAAGCCCGCTGTATAACATTCAGTATTTCTTTGTGTTGAACTTGAAACTCTATAGGAGTTATGACCCTTACTAGCACACTCCTGCTTTTTCAGTTAAACAAAGGTCGAGACTTCTCCTCAATTATTTGAGTTCAGTCTAATTTTCGACCTAACAAGAGCAACGGAATCACGCTCTGTAAAGATAAAGATTTGGATCGGACAACCTTAGTACGGGCGCGGCAACAAGTGGATTCTTTAGCTCCAACACGATCCCAAACTTCTCCTCCACCTCCACTCTCTCTCCTTGTGGAATTTTCCAATCAAAAGAATGCAAAAACGTAGCGAGATTGTAAAGAACAACCCTCTCGCCCATGGCCATTCCCACACATATTCTACGCAGCCCCGGCTCAGATGGGTAGGGCGGAGGTGCGACGGTCCGGGGCTTTTTTTTTTTGAATAAAAAAATTTACATATAAAAAAAGGCCCAAATATTTTTTAAAAATATTATTAATATGAGAATTATATTTCAAGAGGCCTAATTATTTATAAAAAAATGTATAAAAAGGCCCAAAATTTTTAAAATAACAATTTTTACTATAAAAAATCCGCAAAATTTTTAAAAATTAAGTAAATTTTCTCTTTATATATAATAATAGGCCAAAAAAAAAATTTTTTGCCCTAAGGCTCTCAAATATATTGAGCCTGGGCTGATTCTACGACCAGACCCAAACGGTAAATAGTTGAAGTCATTTCCCTTGAAGTCATAAGAATTATCAAGAAACCTGTCGGGATCAAACTTTAGTGGATTCTCCCATACATTGGGGTTCCTATGGATCGCCCACACATTGATGAAAATCTTTGAATCTTTAGGGATGGTGAAGCCGCCCACCACGGTGGTTTTTGACGGTCGGCGAGGAACAAGGAGTGGAATAATCGTGTGAAGCCTTAGAGTTTCTTTCATAATGGCAAGAATGTATGGAAGTTTAGAGATGTGAGATTCGTCCACAACTTTTTCTTTGCCCACAACTTTGTCAAGCTCTTGTTGAGCTCTCTTCATGATATCCGGGTTGTGTAATAACTCGGCCATCGCGAATTCTATAACGTGCAGTGATGTGTCTGTACCACCGAGCACCATGTCCTATAAAAAACAAACAAACCATATTTAACAAATCTATTTGCGTTACCAGAGACAATTCTTTTAACTTACCATGAGCACGGCCTTGACATCGTTCATGGTCAAATTCGTCTTTTCATTTTCTTCATCCTTAACTTTCAACAAGACATCAAGAAAATCCCCAGCTCTCCCATCACTACTGTCCCTATCCTTCCCCAGCCGTTGGTTGATGATCCGGTCAAACATCTGATCCATCCTTTGAGCCGGTCTTTGCATACGCTTAACCAAACCCTGAAGATCAAACCGGCTCAAAACCGGAAAAAAGTCGGAGATATTGGGCACTAGCAGGAGGTCGTTCATCTCTCTAATCACCTCTAAGAACTCGGCCCCAACAACATCCCTCTCTTCTTCCTTAACCGTTGTGCCCCATAGCATCTGCGTAATAACATTCAACATCATCAAGAATATTTGTTCTCCCAGGTTAACCGGCGAACCGACCCGAGCCTGGTCCGCCAAATACCGGACGGTTTGCCGAGTCTCTTGTCGACGGAGTTCAGTGGAGGAATCCAACATGGCTTTGCTCAGTATCCTATTAACACATAGTTTCCTCAGCATCCGCCACTTTGGTCCATACGGCGACCAAATGATCTCCATACCACCATACGTATTGGCCGGAGCCACGGCTGGGACATCGTGGTTTGCGATCATTTGTTTTAAAAATCTCTTGGGCTACTTCAGAAGATGTGACCACAATTGCCAGCTTGGCCCCGAGCCAGAGTTTGAAAATGGGACCGTGCTTTTTAGCCATCCCTTGGAAGTAGGTGTGAAGCTCCGGTTGGAATTAATGGAAGGTTTCCGATAATGGGAAGGCCCCAAGGTCCCGGCGGCAACGGTGGAGACCGCCGTTTGTTTTTGGTGTAAAGCCAAAGAAACCAACAAACAGAGGATACAACTATCACAGTTAAACCATAGTCAAGTTGGTCCCTGCGACTTAGGTTCTTCAAAAGACTGGAAATGTCTGTCATTTTTTTCATAGATTTGATGTAGAGAATTGAGGAGCAGTTTTGATCTTCTTTTATAATAGGTCATCAAGTAGGACTTGATGAATTTTATTATTCTCTCCATTTAATAAAAAGTGTTGCTTTAATAAGACTTTACTGTTATATCACAAACCCCGTTGTTTTGTATTTTTAATACAGTTTTAAAGACTAAATATATATATATATTATCTTTATTATTTCAGCTCATTAACTAGAAATAGAAATTTACATAATTTTCTTAATTATATGTGAAATATGTCAAAATAATACTCTAAAGAGTATAATTTTGCTATGTTCAATGATAATAATTTTGTTTGCCTATTTTTAATCTGATATTTTGTTACTACTAGGTTTCTTGCGAGGACACAAATGTGTAAGAAACTTTGAATCAATTACGGATTTTACCATTTTTAAAGTGACATTTGTTGATTATGCTATTTTTGAAGAGTTTGTGGAATTTGTCATTTTTCATGTAACAAAATATGATTTAACATACGTTTTATCCGTTATGTTTGAGTTTCGTCGGTTCTGTTTGTTATTAGGGTTTAGTATTTAGTATAATGTACTTATTTTTGTAAAAAAAAATCATAATTACGTATATTCTTAAATGTTAAAAAATGGCATTTTCGTAAAAATTCAGTAAAAATCGTATTTTTGAAAGATTTTTCTAAAAAATGGCATTTTGAACAAAAATCCTAGAAACTTTAGACATTAAAAGAAAACATATCGCATTTTGACCAATTTTCTGATTAAACATTTATCGGTAAAATTTTGACCAAATTGTGATTATAAATTGAAATTTTCGTAGATTAGTCGAGATTTTTAGATCAATATATTTGGTTGATAAATGGTCAGAAAAATTTAAATGTTCTCGACAAATACTAATTTTCTTCGAAAAGTAGTTAATAATATATGACGAAAAGTATCCAACGTACATTGGTCAAAACTTATTGACCAATTACGACCACTTATGTAACCATTTGCAAGTGTTTGTAGCCATTTTAGAATGGTAAAAAAATATTCAAAAGTTTTCGACAAAATTTTGGTCAATACTTAGTCAAAAACATTTCGATGAAGCGTTTGTTGCAAAATGGCATAGAATATATGTTGTAAAATAATTTATAATATTGAAGTTATTTTGACCGTCCCACCACTCACCACTATCAAAAATATTTGGCAGTAAATTAGTCAAAAACAATTTTTTAATATCATTAGACCTAAACATAAATCTTTCGCACAAAAATAAAACAAAAACCTAAACATATGTTAATAGTCGTTACCAACCAGAAGTACCTTACTCATGAAGTTAATGATCACTATGTTTCTTAAATGCAATTGAGGAATCTTAGCATGATTAAGAGTAATTAGTGAATGAATTAGTAAGATAGAAGTGGATGAATTTATAATTAGGGGCTTAAACCACTAGATAATTGCTTCTAATTGACTTTTATAAATTGCATTTTTATCATTCATTTTGCTATTGTTTTATGCTTGTGGAAAAGTTTTAGCTTAGACACTTGTTTAGGTTGGTCACTCGCCTTTTGTTTATCTATTTCATTTGCATTGTAGGATATTAGTCTAAAGCCAAAATTTTGAATTGTCTTAGCTTAGTTTAATTCTTGTATTCTTAGTGTGCCAACTCTATTCATCGTGGATCGATATCCTATTATACTATAAAGATGTGCTTGCACCTGGGCATGGTTTAACATGGATTTAAAACTTGTGTTTTGAAACCAAAATAAATTCTCTATCAACTCTCAAGACTTTATATATATATTTGTACATAATGTCAATCAAGCAGGGAAAGATTGTTAAAGATCTATTTCTGTTATCTTTTAATTTATTAATTATAATTATTCTAGAATATTCTAAAGTTTAGGGGTTTTATGCTTTATTGTAAATAGCCTTCTAAGGCCTCATACGAAAGATTTAAAGAGGTTTTGATAAATCACTATGAAGGGTATTCTCAACCCCAATAACTTTTGCGAAAGTCCTGAGAAGTTGACTCTCAAACCCTAGTTTACGGATATTCTCTCAATCAACGGATCCAGTTCTATCCCTAAAAGTTTCCGCTTCGTCAACCAAATAGTACTCTTGGGTTAGTGAAGTGTCAGACTCCTAAAAGAGCAAGATGTCTGTTCCTTGAACTATTTGAGGCTTCTTGAGAATGATTACGTTATTAATCTTAAGGGAAAATTTACTAAAATAGATTACCCCATGAAGTACGCATATATAATTATATATACATATATGTATTCTTTAGTCGTTCATAAGCTATTAAATATGGAACACTGAGAAAATGATTAATTAGGGTATTGAGGAATCATAATTGATATAGAGAAAATCAGCTAAACTAGAATCCAAATATTAAAAGTATCCCATACACAAACGCATACGTCTCTATCTATGTATATGGTTCTCTTGAATACTATTCCACTCATTTGAAAAACAGTAGGACAGCCTCAGAGATTAAAATAGCTACCTAACGTCTATCAATAGAATCTCACGGACTCTTCAAAAAAGCAAAAGAAAGCAACAAGCTTTAATACTTGGGTCGTCTAGGACCAACAATGGAGCTTCGCTTTATACGAGTTCTTACGTTAAACAGATGAAGCAACTAGACGATAGGCTTAAAGAGGTTATTCCACAAATGGTATACTATCTAATATCTGGTATAGTCACGGACTCTTCACAAAAAAAAAAAAAAAAAAACAAGAAAAAAAAAAGAAAGCAACAAGCTTTGATAATTGGGTCTAGGGCCAACAATGGAGCTTCGCTTTATAAGAGTTCTTACGTTAAACAGATGAAGCAACTAGACAAGAGGCTTAAAGAGGTTGTTTCAAATATAGTATATTACCTAACATTTAGTACAGTCACGGACTCTGCAAAGTTTACACTGCAAATGCACTCAGCTACTACGTACATGAACGAACATGGAGTTACAAAAGAAGAAGCCAATAGAGAATTTGAAAAGATGAATGGAGATATGAACAAGAAACGAAGAGTGCTTGAAGATAAGTACCATGCCACGCCGAATTCTTATGCAATCCGTCAATTATGGACGTTCATTGGATGTTCTCTATACCGCGGATGATGTCTACAACCACCGTGAAGGAAAACTCAAGGAATATATGAGCCTTTTGCTCGTAGATCCCATACTTCTTTAGAGAGAGCTTGGGATGCATTATGTTTGTTACTTTTGGTTTTCAATCTCCAGTAAGAAAATCGTGTTATGTGATTTGCGGTTCTATTTGATCATAAGGGTTGTTGGACATGGGCTTTGCCCCCTATATGTTAGGGGGCCCAAAACAGATGGCACAAGTTTATAAGAAAGCCTTGATCACTATGAAGAGCCCATTAAGCCCGGAAGGGCAAAACCGTCATTTACAGTGGAGACAGAAGGAATTTTAGGGTTCCTGTTCCCTATAAATAGTCAGAAGCATTATTGGGAACAGGATCCGATCCAGAGGTTATTAACCAGCAGACAAGAAGAATCGCTGCCTAGCCCGAAATCGTTGCCTAGCCCGACATCGTCGCCTAGCCCGAGTTTCGCCGCTTCGCTTGTTTTCGTATTCTGTCTCTCTGTTCCGTACGTTAAGTGTTCGGCTCGGCGGATAGTCTATAACCGCCGCCGCGAAAACTTACATTCTGTAATCTCTCGATCGCTTATATCGTTAATAAAAGGACTAGCTCCGTTCACCCCCAAAATCTCGTATATTATCATTGTTACAACCTAGGTACAAACAATTGGCGCCCACCGTGGGGCACAGTTCGAAGCTATCCTTTTTTGACGAGACAATGAACACTGAATCTCAAACGCTCCGCGACGACATGACGGACACCTCAAGCGACCGAGGAACTGACATCGGCGCGCCAGCAGCGCCCGACGCGCCAGGATTACCTCCCCTGAACCCAGTAGCTGCCCGCGCTGAGCTAGATCCCTCGCGCCGCCTCTTGTTCACACCAAACACAGGGATGGAGTCTGATGCTGCTCACGCCGTCCCGGCTCCTGGGGCACCTACTGCACTCGCCGTAGCAGCCGCAGCTGGAGCAGCCACTACAGTAGGAGCAACCGAATGCACCGCACCAGGACGTACCCGAGCCGCACACCAAGGCACCCACATGGACGATCTCGTTCAGACCATCCTGGATAGGCTCGACAACCAAGACGCGCGGACCACAGAACGGATCGACGCCCTCGTAGCAGCACAAGTCGCTTCCCAGAGCCAGATCGAACGACTACGACGCCGAAGACGTACTTCCCAACCCCACGATAACCAAGAAGAGCTGCAGTCTCCACGAACCCCGGTGGCCGGAGGCATAGAAGTTCAACGACGCGGCCCAGCATCTATCATCGTCGGATCCATCGACGAACATCCCCGCCAGAATTTGCCTCACGGCCAAAACATGCAGAGCGCCCCCAATTTGCCGCACGGCTATACTATGCAAAGCGCCCAGAACATGCACTACGGCCCCAATTTGCCGAGCGCCCATCATTCACAGCACGTTCACCATCTGCAAAGCGGCCATCATCTTTTGACCGGGCATAATCAGCCGAGCGGGCACAATCTGCTTAGCAACCGAGCCGCGGACTCCGGACGACTCTTGCCTGGTGGACCCTTTACCGGTGACAACCATTCTCATGATCAGGAGCTTACACGGTTGAACGCTTTAATAAGAGACATGTCCTCAAAAATGCATCGGGCCACTACCGCGGCACCGGAACTAGAAAAGGTTTTGGAAGAGACACAACGCTCGCCGTTCACAGCACGCCTCTCGGCTGTCCATGTTCGTTATGTTAACAAAGTTAAACTGGTCCCATACAACGGCCTCACCGACCCGAAAATCTTCCTCAAGTCAATGTGCATCGCCATCAATCGCGCGCATTTCACCGCTGAAGAAAGCGACGCTGGGAGTTGCCAACTGTTCGTGGAAAATTTGACAGGGGACGCGCTAAATTGGTTCTCACGACTCGAAGTTAACTC